ATGCTACCTTAACAACCTCATCTTCCTCCACCACAGCCAGCACCACCGGCCTCTCCCGCCCTTCCCTACATACAGGTCTCATATCATTTCGCGTGTTGTGGCATACCTCCAAGCTCAAGGTGCTCCTCGGCGATAACCATACTACACCACACCTCCAAGCTCAAGACGCTCCTCGGCGACAAACCAAGCCAACTCAACTGCCGCGACAATCGACATCACGCAGCAGTTGGAGCAGCAAAGCCCGACTCGACCACCAGACTATCAGACGAAGGGCATCTGTCGCGCAAAGCTGCCACTCGCTAAATTTGTACACAGATTAGATATACTTTTGTTCTTGATGACTTAATTTGATTGATTTCCGCTCTCTTACATATCTATTTTTTCCTTATTTCCAAGTTCAAACTTGAACGCTCTTCAATCCTTTAGCTCGTTTGATCAATCTTGGGATAATCATACATTTTGTTGTCTCGGATGACAACGTCGCTCGGAATTTGATTACATGTTCCTCTCCGAGTCTCAATACATTCTTGCATTCTTCCTTTTTGTTCGCCCTCGCCCCTCTCCCGCTGTCGCAGTGTCGGCGAGTCCACTTGTTTTAACTAATAGAAGATTGTTACTATTATTGTCTCTCTCTCTCTCTTTCTCTTTTTTCTTCTGCCTGCACATTACTTAACAATGTTTACGACAGTGCTTCGTCAACGTTTCAAAGCTACAGCTCAGAAGTTTGATTTTGTTTTTCTGCAATCTTTGCACATACATTTTCCTCAATCAGAAGCACCGTGTTGTTTCCGACATTATGTGCTTCGCATCTCGAAAGTACAGCAGCAAACTTTTCCAAAGAAATTTGGAGTTTCGATGACACGTTTGGAGGTGAACTCAAGCATCCACAAGTGCGGTGGTGGACTTTTAGCATGGCCCCAACGAGGCTTACAGCTATGCATGGCAGGTTCTTTTCTGTTTGTCATTTTTTTTTTTAAACAAGTCAACCCCGCTGCGGCGACAACTGCACTCGCAGACGACCCGTTTCTTAAAGGTCGCGTGCCCCATGCGGCCGCCCTGGGCCCAAAGAGGAACAGGGATGACACTATGCTGGGTGATTGTACATGACTCCCAACAAGAAAAAAAATAAGCAAAAGAAGGTTAAAAAAAACACCCATGTGATCCAAGGGTACCCTCAGCTATCATGACACCAGACGTGATTGCCGTCGGATTCATCCAGGTTCGGACGTAAAGGTGGAGTATGCAGGTCAGGTGGTTATGCAGGACGGGGCATGGGATGTGGAGTGGATAGGGCTATGTTGGCCATCTCTGCATGGGAGACACCCCCCCCCCCCCCCCCCCCCAAAAAAAAATGCTAAAAAACCATCAAATAGATAAAGAGATAAAAAAATAAGCACAGCAACTATTGAGAGCAAGACCAGAGCTCAGGGAACTAGCATACTTACAGCAGGGACTCTCTTCTACAGTCAGATTTATCCATATGCGTCCATAATTGCAGTTCCACGGTTAGATCTTTTACCCTCTTCCCTATAACCTCAAATCGGCCTTCTATGGGCCTCGGTCTACTGATCACTGAATGTGCAAAATGAGAATGAGTCTTCTGCGACGGGCGATGGAGAAGTGGGCAGGCGTGGTGCGGTTATGTCAGGTGTAGCTGTGCGGTAATGCGCGGCGACGCTGGGCACCACTGTGCTTGGATGCGTGGCTATGACAGGTGCTGCTGAGCGATGACACGTGGTGATGCAGGGAGTTGGCGCTGCTACACAACGACACAGTGCTATTGCAGGACGACGCGCGGCTAAGCCAGGTGCTGCTGTGTGACGACGCACAGTCATGCCAAGTGGTGCTGTGCAGTAACGCACGACGTCGCTGGGTGCGGCTGTGCGAGGATACATGGTCATGTCAGGCCTTGCTGGGCGGTGTAATGTGACGATGCAGGGAGTTGTAGAATGGCGAAGTTGGGTGAACACTTCAACTCTCTATCTCCTAACATTTGAAAACATTTTACTGCCATCTCGCTGTCTTCTGCCTCTCACGAGTGATGCTATGGGTTAGCATGCCGTGTGAGGTGGGGTAAGGCTTTTTACTAGGTCTTGCTTCAGGAGGAATCATTTGTGCTCTTCATCTTGTACAATTTGGTGGAGAAGGTCGACTTGTAGCAAGAGGGAGAAGAGTACAGTGTGTCCCACGGGATGGGAGGAGGAGTGGAGGGGGATAAGGAGTGGAGTGATTGGGGTTCTTAGCTCGTTCTGTCATCAACCGGCGGATTGTCTTCGTCTTCGCGCCATACAAGCAGCAGTATCAAGCAACAGGGAGAGGTCTTTTATCAGCCGCAACGGGTTACAAATGATAGGCATCATCATCAGGGAGTTGCTCATCATCATCATAATCATCAACAGGGCGTGGTTCAACTTTAACACCACGATCAGGGGTGCTGCGCGACACTCATCGTTGTAATACCATCATGGGCGCTGCTCGCCCCTATCATCATCATCAGGTGATCAGCATCATCATCATCTTGAGTTAGCACAGGGCACTGTGCGTCATCATCATCATCATCATTATCATCATCATCATCATCGACATCATCATCATCATCATCAACATCATCAGTTTGTAATCATAGGGGCGGGGCTGGTGGGGCTCCTCTTTAGTATGATCAGCATCATCATTTTGTCTTCATTCTCATCACTACCATCATCATCATCACCTTTATCAGTTTGTCATCATTAGATGTTTGCCCATCAAGGCATTGTTTGTCGTTCACATCTGCAGGTGAGTTGGTCGTCACCATCATCTTCATCATCATCATCTTTAGGAGGCAGGAATAGGTGCTATCTGGCAAGTCATCTATGATCTTGCGAAGGGTGGTTGAAAATTCGGTGGCCCTCGAAGACCGATGCTGGAGCAACGCTGGCCGGAGCCGGAGCCAGGTAGCGCAACTCTGTGACCCATCTTAGTGGGGTTGTGAGGCCTGGTAGAGAGCTCTGGGGGCTGTTAGCGGGGGCAGTCCCAATGGTCATCGGGGATCGTAACTGAAGCAATGCTCGCTGGTGTTGGAGCAAGGTGGTGCAACTCTGTAACCTAACCTGATGGGAGCATGAGGCCTGGAAGAGCTTCGGTTCGTACTGAAAATATCCATGCTGGTGGTGGTCGCAGGTGGATTGAATAGGTTTCACCTATCTGATTCGTGGTTGGGAGGCTTTTTACTATTTCTTTTCATTTGGTTTGCCACTCGAGAAGGTTGTAGGAATAGGTGCTATCTGGCAATTCTTCTGTGATCCTGCGAAGGGTGGTTGACAATTCAGCGGCCCTCGAAGACCGATGCTGGAGCAACTCTGGTCGCGCAACTCTGTGACCCAACTTAGTGGGGGCGTGAGGCCTGGTAGAGAGCTCTGGGGGGGCTGTTAGCAGGGGCAGTCCCAGTGGTCATCGGGGATCATAACTGAAGCAATGTTGGCTGGTGCTGGAGCAAGGTGGTCCAACTCTGTAACCTAACCTGATGGGAGCATGAGGCCTGGAAGAGCTTCTGTTCGTACTGAAAACATCCATGCTGGTGGTGGTCGCAGGTGGATTGAATAGGTTTCACGTATCTGATTCGTGGCTGGGAGGCTTTTTACTATTTCTTTTCATTTGGTTTGCCGCTCGAGAAAGTTGTAGGAATAGGTGCTATCTGGCAATTCTTATGTGATCCTGCGAAGGGTGGTTGACAATTCGGCGGCCCTCGAAGACCGATGCTTGACCAACGCTGGCCGGAGCCGGAGCCAGGTGGCGCAACTCTGTGACCTAGCGTGACGTCTGGTAGAGAGCTCTAGGGGGTTGTGTGCGGGGGCAGTCTCAGTGGTCATCGGGGGTCGTAACTGGAGCAATGTTGGCCGGTGTTGGAGCAAGGTGGTGCAACTCTGTAACCTAACCTAATGGGAGCATGAGGCCTGGAAGAGCTTCGGTTTGTGCTGAAAACAGCCATGCTGGTGGTGGTCGTAGGTGGATTGAATAGGTTTCACCTATCTGTTTTGTCGGTGGTTCTTATGAATGTCTTAGGACTCTAGGGAATCTTAGCAACCCATCCTAGGCGGTTCTGAAGCGGTTATACTCAGTGATCTGTGGTTGTTCGATGCCAGAACGACGTTGGCCAGTGCTGGGGTGATGCCCTGTAACCTGCTGATGCAGGAGCGTGAGGCCTGGTAGAGAGATCTGGGGATGCTTTGGGGGGGCATCCCAAGGGACAGCCAAGGTTTGTTGCTGGGACGACGTGGTCGGAGCTGGGGCGAGTTGTGTTGCCCTGTAACCCAGCAGGGTGGGGGCATGAGGCCTGGAAGAGCTCGGCAGGGAGTAAGACTGTGTTGGAAAGTCTTAGAAGGGCTGGTTAGGGATCCTAAGGGTTGTGAGCTTTCGTGGGACCTTTGTGGCGGCCTATTGCATGTGTAGTTCCTTATTAGGTCATTAGATATTCACAAACTGATCTCACCCGAAGCCGGGTAATGGCCCCGGTATCTCAAATGATCTCAATGTTCTCAAATGTTCTCAATGATCTGTACAATTCAATATGGGACGCTGGGCCCGGTTCCCAGCACGTGCTGCTCCCCACAAATAGAGTGAAGCATTTGTCTTAAAAAAAAAAAAAAAAAAAAAAAAAAATACTATAAAAAAAAGGAGAAAAAAAAAACATGGAAAGATACACCATTGCATTTTTGGTCGTTTGTGCATGCGGTGAGCAGTGGAGCAACGCCCTATGCATTTGTATCTCAATGTTCTGGCCAGCTATTCTCCATTTGCAGAAAAGACAAAAAAAATATGGCGGTGTACCTTTCCATGTTCAAGGGGAGGATTCAGTCTCATTTTGCACATTTGCTGAGTAGCGGAGCAAAGGCCCAAAGGAATTGCGGACTTGCAGCGCCACAGAAAGCCTACAAAGCATGGCTACGATCTGGACACCCGAGCAGGGATTCGGACTGTCCGGAGTCCGGCCTCCGATCCAGGTTCCCGGATCCCGGTCTGGATGGTTCGAAAATAGGCGGTAGCCCAATTTTTTGGGGTGTGGCCCAGGTTGTTCAATTCCATTCTGGCCACCATGGAACAATACTGGCCGTTTTTCAACAGTTTTGCCTGGCATCCAGACAGGGCCGGAAGGAAGCTCTCAGATTTATTTTCCTGCTCTGTCCTCGTTTCTAAGGAAACCATCCTTGTCTTTGTTGGTTGGCTAAGGTGCTTAGTGTGCACTGCCAGACATGCCCGTACCTTCCCGTGATAGGACGCTTGGTGCAGGCGATGACGTGAGGTTCCGTTGGTTTTGTCTGGTGCGGCCATTGACGTGATGCTTCAGCTGACGGTTCTTCCAGCCTTGATAATCTAGGCTAAAGAAGTCTCTTGCTCCGTCCTTCGTTTATGTGGTGTCGTGGGATGACACTCTAGAGGAAGGGGAGGTTGTCGGGTTGATTAGGATAGTCTTCATGAGATCTTGGGCATGGTTGTGGCCCTGCTCCTGCGCGAATCTAATGGAGGTTGGTTGGGCAACGCAGATAGAAGGTGAAGAGCATCTCCTCATGCAGAGTGGGAGGAGAGAGGCTTGTTACAAGCTGGAGCGT